CGTCTGAATTTCCTTTTAATTGTTAGTGACTACCAACGTGAAACAGTTTTCAGTAATAATTAAATTTTCATGTTCATTCACCCGAATATATTGACTACTTCACAATGGCAATTTATGGCCGCCTTTTTTTTCAATAAGCCGAACAATGTGAAAAACGAACACAGTACGCTAATGTTCTTGAACTATGTGAAGTCTCCTTATTTCAATAGGGATTGCTTTGAAGCATTTGCGTATATGTGTGGAGATTGTGGACCTCTGGACTTCTACTTTAGGAGGCAAAAATGTAGTTGGAGTAGTACTTTGACTGGATTATGGAGTGAATCAGATATGAGGAAGATGTTGAAAGACATTGAAGGACACAAATTGGTCGAGATTTATGTGGTAGTACCTAACCAAACATATGCACTATCAAACGAACCGTATGAAGAATCAATACAAGATGTTCCCAGGATTAGTGACCATAATGAAGGGGTGAATGTAGTACTGAAGGATGCTACATTCCGGTGTTTGATGACGGTGAAAGTGATGCGACGGAGCATGATATTGGTGAATTTGTAAATGAAAATGTAAAGAAGGTGTGGTCGCAGTTTGAGGAAACTTTTACGTATAATGCTGGCACATAACTTGAACAGGTTGAACAAACAATTGAATTGGTTGATCGGGACACAAATGAACATAGTGATGATGACATAATGGATAAACCAGTAGAATGTTTTCTCGAGATGGACTATGAAGTGGAGGATGAACATCCAGGTAGTGGCTAACCTCCAGTTGAGACAGTGAATCTTGATTTCGGTTTTGGGTTTGGTTTATATGATAGACAGGTAGCACCGTAGCAGCTAACCTCCAGCTGAGACAGTGAACCTTGACCTTTTGATTACAATGTGTAACCCCCCGACTTTTATCCTCTGTTTGGTAACACCTCCTGACATTTTGGGGATGATGTGTAATGCCCCCCTTACAATATTTGATATTTGATTATACTTATAAAAGGAAATTAGAATGAAACAGCTTTTGTTTAAAGTATCCATAGTTTATGATCCCAGGAGAAGCACATAGGAATCCATT